TTCCTGACTTTGGGCTAATTCATGTAATTTTTGCTTACAAAAGGCACTGCCAAGTGCCTTTTGTGACCAAAAACTTGCATGAATCAGCCTAATGTCGAACTGTGCCGATATACCATCTTATAGGAGTAAAGCATGAAACATGCAAAACTTAAACAAACCGTTAATTTAATATGGCATTGTATGCGATCTACGGATTAGGGTTAGAGTATATATAGCTCGGATACTGTAACTGTTTTATATTCACCCATGTTCGCATCTTATATCTGACTTTGGGTTTATTCATGTATATATGCAATTTTTGCTTACAAAGAACCGGAAGAACAGGAAGGTTTTGCGAAACATGGATGAATTAGCCTTGGTCTAATGTTTAAACATACCCGATATTGTGCGCTAAGTTTTGGCAAGTAATTGGTAAAAGCGACTTACCGTTTACTTAAGCTCGATATCCTAACCTCCTAATGTCCATATTCAGAATATTTTTTCTTTCAAATCAATGGTGATGCACAATACAATCAACCAATTACTAGTAATTAGTTATCACTTGTTAAATCCCTGCATTTCTTACAAAAATCTCGCAATTTTAGTAGCATTTCACTTTGAGTCCTATCAGCTACTTCTTCACAAGTCTTCATTACGTCAAAACACAAGTGACGCACGTCATGAATATTTATGAGATTACGTCAAAAACTGATCATGTGACTACATTCCTAAACAACGCAAAATGGAGTTTTATCTACTCAACAAGTACGTTATTTTGCGAAACCTTTTAATTCTCATTTAAAAAACTGTGTTTAAAAACCAGTTTTTTAAACCCAATTTTTCACAAGGAACACGATTTTTGGCTCAATTTTGCGATTTGTGGCCTTTTTTATCGATTTTGTCGATCGCTCACGCGATCGTATTATATTGTACACCGCCTTCGGCGGCACCTATTTTAGCGCCATATTTATAGGGACCGGTATACTAGAAGTGTTCCAGGGAATCATTCTTTTTTACAGTTATAAAAAAAATACCGTTTACGAGAATCAATTTAAAATTTCCCAATGATAATCATGATAATGTGTTTTCTTTAAAAAGAGGGCTAAGTGTAACGTTATATCAGATCTGGTGCAATCAGCTACGTAGCATGAATTACCTACCGTAGCTTTATTTAGCTACTTGAGGTAGTTTTATTTAGCTATTTCAATGCAACTTTTCACAATTTTGCTTTCTATGTAAAATAGACAAAAAATAGCAAGTATATGACTATAAATATTTTTACTAGGGAGTTTTAAAAAAGCAATCCAAGACAAAGATAGTTTGAACATTGTTGCTTTTTGATCACTTTTAAGTAAAAAACATATATCCATTGTTCGATTAACAGTACACCACTTTGTGTGTGGTGAGACATGGACAAGTAATGATTACTTCACATGGTGCTGAATTATAACAAACAATTATCATGTTAACTAGAACTGGTCTTCTTTGTTATTTCATTCAACAAGTAACTGTTTGGTCACAAATTAACTGTTGTATATAGCCCCAGAACTTTAACAACTTTCATTGCAATTGTGCTGAATTCTTTCTAAACTGCTAAAGATGGCCGATGATATATACATGACCATTGTGCACAAAGGAAAAGTCTATTTACATGACCATTGTGTGAATAGCTATTGCATATTGCCTGATATATATATATATATATATATATATATATATATATATATATTATACACCTATTTGCTGGCTATGAGGACAATAGCAAGTTTATCGTTCCCCAAGACAGCAACTATTTCCCGAGGCGCAGCCGAGGGAAATAGTTGCTGTCGAGGGGAACGATAAACTTGCTATTGTCCGAATAGTCAGTAAATAAGTGTTTTATTATACCGAAGCAGTCTTTACTTGTGTTACGTCACAATCTGTATAAAACCAGAAGAGTTCCGAGATGAAAAGCGAGGGAAACAGAATGCTGCCGGTGAATAGTTTAATGACTATTTCACCATGGGCAAATAGCACAAAAACTATTCCACGGTAGGGGCTGTTTGGAAAAAATAGCATGTTTATTCGTAATATTTTTATTTAGAAAAAATTCACAGAGGTATAATAAATATCTATATATATATATATATATATATATATATACACTGCATCCAGAGCATGCTTTAAATCCATAACATGTTAAATGGAATGTTGTAAATGTATACAATGTGAATGTTTTGAAGTGTTGCACTTCAATCACGACACCTTCTAGGTTTAATGTGTAAGAAAGAGAGAGAGAGAGCTTAGGTGGTAAAATATGGAATGCATATCTGTAGGACATGTAGGAGTTGGTCTCTTATCAATGGAGTACAATATATATGCAAAATATGTTGATTGAAGAAATTTATGCAAGTCTTCTATTTAAAAAACATTAATTTATTGTGCTACTTCAGATTTACTTGTATTAATCATAAATGTGACATATTAAAATAGTCCTATCATATGTATAGGATACCAGTATGCATGATTTGGATGAAAAGCAAGAAGATTCTGTAAGTATGGTAAAATTAAATTTATGGCAATGGGTAGTATAGTAACTGTACTTCACTTCTGTCCTGTTTCAGTATTATGAAATACCCGGTATATGAAAAATATGATATCATTTTTTTTAGGAGATAATTAACTGTTACTTGAGTATTTAATGAATGATCCAAAGAATCTGTGTCAAACCTGCACATAAAAATGCTGGATAAGTTTTTATGTGTTTCATGACCAACCAGAATAATGCAAGAGTATCTGTATACCTTTATTGAAGGTTGGAACATGTTAGATGGAATATTATATGTTCATATTAGTTCATGTAGAAGATGATACTGAAGATTTGTAATTTTTATTGATCTGTTATTAGGTAGGGAACCATAGAGTATTTAATTAAAACAACAAATGCAATATACATGTTCAGTCACAATTGATACACTGTCAACTATGTTTAAAAAAAATAGTCTATCATCTTTAGGAACAAAAGAGCTGTCCATCTCAAGATTGTGATTCCAAGGCAGCTGGAATGTCCACTGACAAGGTAAGACTAAACACTATAGTATGCACTGTTTTCGTCCGTCGGCGTGCGGGCGTGCGTTGTGCGTAAACTTTTCACTCTTTCAACTTCTTCTCAAGAACCACGGGGCTAATTTCCACCAAACTTGCCACAAACTATCCTTGGGTAAAGATGATTCAAGTTTGTTCAAATGAAGGGCCACGCCTTCTTCCAAGGGGAGATAATTAAGAATTAGTGAAAAATTAATGGTATCTTTTAAAAATCTTCTCCTGAAGAACCACTGGACCAGGTAAGATGAAACCTATATGGAAACATCATCAGGTAGTGTAGACTCAAGTTTGTTAAAATCATGACTCCCAGGGGTAGGGTGGGGCCACAATGGACGATCAAAGTTTTACATAGAGATATATAGGAAAAATCTTAAAAAATCTTCTTCTCAGGAACAGCTAAGCCCTGATTGGTCACATTTATATGGAAGCATCCTCGTTTGAACACAAGGAGCCTAATAACGGACATCACATAAGCATTAAACGACGTCACAATGTAAACAATTGTTACGGAACAGTTTGCTTAACTCAGAGAAAATGAACTTTATTAAAAAATCTTTGAAAAGTCTTGAAATTCGTTAAGTAGACACTTAGAGGGGTAATACAGAAATATATGGGGTCCTTGAAAAAATGCATATTGGGCTGGGCTAAAGCCTCGCCCAATATGCATTTTTTTTTTCAAGAACCATATATTTCTATATTACCCCTCTAAGTGTCTACTTAACTAATTATGTCAGTTCCACCCCTGTTTTTCACTTGTTGGTTCCAATCATCATCAGATAAAGGTACAAAAGTATTAACTTTCAAATCCTGTAGTGAAATCTTTGTATTTTATTTTAGTGTCTAATGACATGTATTTCTTGACCTTATACATGTATATGTATATATATATATAAATATGTACTGTGTAGATTTTTCATTTTGTTTTAATTTAAGGAGTATGAGTAGGACACAATCATTGATTCCATTGGAGAACACAGCTCACTATCTCTGCAAGAGTTATATTATAGTAACATCACACAAAACAGTTTTACTTATACTTAGTATAATAATGCACCATAATATAATAATAAAAGCTAACTTTCAAACTACACTTGATATTTTAAGGTTTATCATGACCAATATGCTTTTAAATATAAATATTTGACATTCATTCTCTTCTTTAACAGGTAGCAGCTACATTTGCAGACCAACTGTGCAGTTCCGTTGCAGAAGTCTCACGCTCAAGGTTATCAACTGCAACTGTTTTTAGCTCACCTGATCCCTAGGTTCAAGTGACTTTTTCTGATCAGCTGTCGTCTGTAGTCTGTCTGTTAACCTTTTGTATTCTCTACTGCTCAAGTACTACTGGGTCAAATTTATCCAAACTTGTCACAGAACCTTTGGGTGGGCCACAATAGACAACCAAGTTATGTAGAAATATGTAGGAAAAATGTTTAAAATTTTCTTCTCATAAACCACTGGGCAAGAAATGAAGAAACTTGTATGAAAGATTCCTGATAAAGAGTAGATTCTTTAAAGTTTGTTCAAATCATAATCTTAGGGTGTAGGATTTACTTCTGATTGGAAAATAATTTCATAAGTCTTCTGATAACATGGCCAAGGTGACTCAGGTGAGTGTCGTGGACCATGGGCCTCATTCTATATTAAATTGAAAGCATTTTAGGAGCCTGAAACATCAAAGAGCCAATTAAAATACTCGTGGGGCTGTTTATGATTGTCATTTCTGTAAGAGCATCCTTGATTTACAATATGTAAAAGGGTTTCAAGTAGTTTCATTGTTCCTCTGAATCATAGAGTTATACTCTGTCTGTGAGGAGTGCATTTTGGTTGCCATGACACATCTAGTTGTATATTCACATTGTTTATGCCAAGGAATGTTGCAATTTGAGTGCTGTAACTCTTCTTATTTAAATAAAATACTGTTTAATCTTTTATTTTTAATAAAATGTTTTGTCAAATTTATTTATAGCACAGACCCTCAAATCCCTCATCTCATTATGCTAGGTAAGTAACTGAGTTGATTTATAATGAATGCACACAGGGGCACAATAGTTGGCTTTACAGTTGCACGACATTGGTGACCTAAATAAGGAATAGAAAACACGTGCAACTATCTGTATCCAATTTCTTATTGTAAATCCAGTATTTAAACTGTCAAGGAGCTATATATGCATGTATGTACATGTACTAAATTATTAATGTAAAAATGCTTGCTGGAATATTTAATATTTTTGAGAAAAAATTGAAAAATACGATAAGTACATGACATCATACTTTTTCAGTTCTCAGGATTACATAGACATTGTGGATAGTGAAGATGAAGAATTGGAGAGGGCCATCCAAGCTAGCATGGTGGAATTTGAACAGAAAAAGTATTTTCTTTCCCCCAATTTTATTTTTTGTACATGTATTAATAGATAATTTGCTGAACTTTTAATTTTTTGATCCACTACTACATAAAGCTAATTTTCTTTTTGAAAACAGAACTCATTTTTTATTTTATAGTTTAAATATAATGCAGGGAATTGATTATTAGCTCAACATAGCCTTGCTCAAGTGAGCTTTTCTGATTGGAGAGTGTCCAATGTCAGAATGTCCTGAATGTCCATCTGTCTTTCTGTAAACTTTTAGTTTTTCACCTCTTCTCAAGAACCACTTAGCCAATTTCAACCAAACTTGCCACAGAGCATTCCTGGGTGAAGTAGATTTTAGTTTGTTCAATGAAGGGCAATGTTTTCTTTCAAGGAGAGATAATTAATAATAATTAGTGAAAATTTAATGGCATCTTTAAAAATCTTCTTCTCAATAACACTGGTCCAGAAAAGACGAAACATGTGAAAGCCTTTTTATAGTGTAGATTCAAATTTATTCAAATCATGATCCCTGGGGTAGGATGGGGCAATCAAAAATTAAGAATATAAAATTTAAAAAGAATATAAAAATTTAAAATCTTTTCAAGAACAGCAAAGTCATGATTTGTCATGTTTATATGGAGCATCCTCAGATAGTATATAGTATACATTCAAGTTTATTCAAATTATGCCCCCCTCCCTTCCCCTTCTTCTCTGTTCCTGGGTGAACTTGGTGCATGGTTATAATGACTTCCATTGGTTTAGGGTCACCAGGTCAAAAGTTAAGGTCAACTTGGACATGGGAAGATCTTGACCCTTAATAAAATATTTTCAGAAACCTTTTCTTGATAAAAGTCAAACTTGGTGCATTAGTTCCCATTTAGGAGTAGAAAGGCATTGTAGGTGATAAAATTGCAGATAAAAATAACTCCATTCCTGGTCTTGTCCTTTCAGAAGTGATCAAATATTTTGTAAACTAATGAGATCCCATTCAAACCACATAATTTCTGGTTCCTTGTAAATGATATGTTCAATGGTCCCTGGGTCTATTTTGAAATATGGCCAAATATGTTCTCAAGGGGATTATCTCAAAAATACATGTGCACAAGCACCATTATTCCTGCTTTACTGATAAATCGAAATGTATTTTAGAACTTCAGCTGCAATAAACCAATGTAAAACAGGAATGGATGATGTAGCAGGATTTTGGAAGCTAGTTGCAGCAAACTCTACACAGTTTAGATCTCTGTTTTGTCACCAATGTTTACCGTTAACCAAGGAAAAATTTGAGTCCCTCCTCAAGATAAATTTTTCTGACGAGGGATCAAACAAAAGATCACAAGAGGAAGACACAGTATATTCCTGGGAGTTATTCTTGCAGGATGTTAGTGGTGAGAAACTTTTTATGCCTCCGGATCGAAATATCCTGGGGGTATATTGTTTTTGTCCTGTCAGTCTGTTTGTCTGTCTGTCTGTTGTCAACTTTAACCTTGCCCATAACTTTTGATTGGTTGGAGCTATGACTTTCATATTTCACATGTGTATTCCTTGTGACAAGACCTTCTTATTTGACCTTGACCTTGGAGTTTGACCCACTTTAACAAAATTTTATGAGACTTTAACCTTGGCCATAACTTTTGAACAGTTGGTGCTTGGGGTTTCAAACTTCACATGTGTATTCCTTATGACAAGACCTTCCTCTGGATATTAACCTCTTTGACCTTGACCTAGGAGTTTGACCTACTTTTGAAAAACTTTAACCTTGGCCATAGCTTTTGAACGGTTGGAGCTAGGGCTTTCATACTTCACATATGTAATCCTTGTGACAAGTCCTTCCTTTGGACACCAACCACTTTGACCTTTTGACCTTGACCTAGGAGTTTGACCTTCTTTTGAAAAACTTTAACCTTGGCCTTAACTTTTGCATAGTTGGTGCTAGGGCTTTCAAACTTCACATATGTAATTCTTGTGACATCTCCTTCCTTTGGATACCAACCACTTTGACCCTTTGACCTTGACATTGGAGTTTGACCTACTTTTGAAAAACTTTAACCTTGGCCATAACTTTGGAATGGTGTGTTAGGGCTTTCATACTTCACATATGTAATCCTTGTGACAAGACCTTCCTTAGGACACCAACAACTTTGACCTTTACTATGACGTTTTACTTACTTTTAAAAAGCTTTAACCTTTGCCATAACTTTTGAGCAGTTGCAGCTAGGGCTTTCATATTTCACAGGTATATTCCTCGAGACAAGACCTTTCTTTGGGCACCAACATTTTTCATCTTTTGGCCTGGATTTTGACTTGCTTTTGAGAAACTTTACTTTAACCTTCGCCATAAGCTGCCATACGGGGGCATCAGTGTTTCACAAACACATCTTGTTCAACTTGAACTTTTCAACTTTTTGGAGATGTATTTCATGAGATATCATTAGGATATCATTTTAAGTGAATTAAGAGTGTGGTTGTCTTTGTACACACATTCATTTTACCCTGCAATCTTTTGTAGATGGAAATATTCAAGCCACACTGGAAGAACTCCTCTCTTTCATCACAGGAGCGGATCAGGTCCCACCCACTGGGTTCCCAAAATGCATAGATATTATATTCTATGCTAGTGAGATCGGTGTGAAAAGATTACCACATGCCTCTACCTGTTCCTTAGAATTTTACTTACCACGAGGTGTTAGTGATCCAAACACATTTAGAGACATGATGTTAATGTCGTTGAAAGAGTCAATGGGATTTGAGAAAATATAAATGTTCAGAAAGTCTTGGATGCACATTATACACTACAGTCCAGGAATAGTTATACACATGGAAGATAGGCCTTGTAAATTTATACAATGAAGTGAATGTACACATAAGCTGTTCTGTTAGCATCAGCAGAATAACTTTTACATACCAAAATTAAAAATTAGCAGTTTCAACAAAGGTAGCACATATAGCAATTTTAAATTTGTATTGAGAACAAACTGCAGAATGTTATACTTGCAACAATGTTTTTAATTTGAACAACTTTCTTAAATTACCAAGTCCGACTTACAGATGCAAACATTTTTTTTATTGTTAGTGTTCATCTTTTCAATGGAGCATTTGGAAAAAAAAAATGTTTTGAAATGCACCTTTGCTCAAATTGTCACTTATTTCAATGAAGTTACTGTTGTTTTTTTTTTTTTAAAGAAGTCTTTGTTACATAATTTAAGCTTTGTAGAAAATGTCTTCTATGTGAATGCCCTCCAATCATTTTTTCTTATACAGATAGAAAATACCAGTATGCTGTAATTTGTTGTTAGCATGAACACAATTATTTAGATAAATATAAACATAAAAGAAGTTCATTTGTACTTGTATTTTTACAGAAACAAAAAATTGTGATATTTTGAATGATCATCTGTGTTTGATATGTTTACCCTATTTTAAGAAGCATTGTATAATAGACATGTCAATTGTTTGGCATTATATTACAATATCAACTACATGGTTTACAACTATGCTTAATACATTGTAGTGTTTTTAGCTCACCTGAGCTGAAAGCTCAAGTGAGCTTTTCTGATCACATTTTGTCCGTAGTCCGTCTGTCCGTCTGTCCGTCCGTCCGTCCGTCTGTAAACTTTTCACATTTTCGACTTCTTCTCCAGAACCACTGGGCCATTTTCAACCAAACTTGCCACAAAGCATCCTTGGAAGAAGGGGGTTCAAGTTTGTTCAAATGAAGGGCCATGCCCTCTTCCAAGGGGAGATAATTAAGAATAAGTGAAAATTTGGTGTCTTTTTTTAAAAATCTTCTTCTCAAGAACCATTTGGCCAGAAAAGTTGAAACTTATGGGAAACCTTCATTACATAGTGTAGATTCAAGTTTGTTCAAATCATGACCCCCGGGGGTCGGGTGGGGCCACAATGGGGGATCAAAGTTTTACATAGGAATATACAGGAAAATTCTTTAAAAATCTTCTTCTCAAGAACAACAAAGCCACAATTAGTCATATTGATATGAAATCATCCTCAGGTAGTGTAGATTTAAATTTGTTCAAATCATGACCCCCGGGGGTAGGGTGGGGCCACAATGGGGGATCAAAGTTTTACATAGGAATATATAGGAAAATTCTTTAAAAATCTTCTTCTCAAGAACAACAAAGCCACAATTAGTCATATTGATATGAAATCATCCTCAGGTAGTGTAGATTTAAGTTTGTTCAAATCATGACCCCCGGGGGTAGGGTGGGGCCACAATGGGGGATCAAAGTTTTACATAGGAATACATAGGAAAATTCTTTAAAAATCTTCTTCTCAAGAACAGCAAAGCCATGATTTGTCATATTGATATGAAATCATCCTCAGGTAGTGTAGACTTAAGTTTGTTCAAATCATGACCCCCGGGGGTAGGGTGGGGCCACAATGGGGGATCAAAGTTTTACATAGGAATACATAGGAAAATTCTTTAAAAATCTTCTTCTCAAGAACAGCAAAGCCATGATTTATCATATTGATATGAAATCATCCTCAGGTAGTGTAGATTTAAGTTTGTTCAAATCATGACCCCCGGGGGTAGGGTGGGGCCACAATGGGGGATCAAAGTTTTACATAGGAATACATAGGAAAATTCTTTAAAAATCTTCTTCTCAAGAACAACAAAGCCACAATTAGTCATATTGATATGAAATCATCCTCAGGTAATGTAGATTCAAGTTTGTTCAAATCATGACCCCCGGGGGTAGGGTGGGGCCACAATGGGGGATCAAAGTTTTACATAGGAATACATAGGAAAATTCTTTAAAAATCTTCTTCTCAAGAACAGCAAAGCCATGATTTGTCATATTGATATGAAATCATCCTCAGGTAGTGTAGATTTAAGTTTGTTCAAATCATGACCCCCGGGGGTAGGGTGGGGCCACAATAGGGGATCAAAGTTTTACATAGGAATACATAGGAAAATTCTTTAAAAATCTTCTTCTCAAGAACAACAAAGCCACAATTAGTCATATTGATATGAAATCATCCTCAGGTAGTGTAGATTTAAGTTTGTTCAAATCATGACCCCCGGGGGTAGGGTGGGGCCACAATAGGGGATCAAAGTTTTACATAGGAATATATAGGAAAATTCTTTAAAAATTTTCTTCTCAAGAACAACAAAGCCACAATTAGTCATATTGATATGGAATCATCCTTAGGTAGTGTAGATTCAAATTTGTCGAAATCAAGACCCCCGGGGGTAGGGTGGGTCCACAATAGGGGATCAAAGTTTTACATAGGAATAAATAGGAAAAATCTTTTAAAATCTTTTCAAGAACAGGAAAGCCATGATTAGTCATTTTGATATTGAAGCATCCCCAAGTATTGTAGATTCAAGTTTGTTCAGGGCATCCTCCAGTAGTAGGGTGGGGCCATAATCGGGGATCAAAGTTTAACAAAAGAATATATATAAGAAATATCTTAAAAAATCTTCTTCTCAAGAACAACAAAGCCATAATTAGTCATATTGATATGGAAGCATCCTTAGGTAGTGTATATTCAAGTTTGTTCAAATCTTGAACCCCCCCTCCCTTCCTTCCCCCCAGGGTAGGATGGCAGACATCTTTAAAATTCCGTTTCAAGAACAGCAAAACCATGATTAGTTATATGAATATAGAAGCATCCTCAGAAAGTTTAGATTTAATTTCATTCAAAACATGGCAAATGGGGATAGGTTATGCCTAGAACAGTTGATCAAAGCTTTACGTATGAATATATAGAAGAAGAAATCTGCTGACAAAGAACAGCAGGGCCATATTGACTCAGGTGAGCGTTGTGGCCCATGGGCCTCTTGTTTCATTTCACTTGCAAAGTCAATTTGAAGCATAGAACTTGATATAGATATTTTTTCTAAGCTTCTAGATTTTAATTTGCATAGAGATTAATTTGTTCCAAATTGATGAACATCAGTGGCACATAATTTTTTTTGTCCCACCTTGAATATGGCTGGGGTATATAGTGTTTGTAGTGTCCATCTTTCGTCTGCATCTGTGTCACCCTTTGGGTTTAGCTCAAGTTCCAATGAAACTCTTTAAGATACTTTGACAATCCGTACACTGATGCATATAGATGAAAATTATTGAACTGTGGAAATTTTCTGACCTTGACCTTACTATTCATTATTTTGTGTTTAGGTAAAATAACTAAGATATTTTTATCAGAATTCATACTGATACAATCTAACTGTGACTTAATTTTCTGACCTTGACCTTCCCTATGACCTTGACTTCATATTAATTCTGGTTTTATAGAGATTAGGAAAAAACTCATATTTTCGTCAAAACTCATGCACTGATGCATATTGGTGGCAGTGTAACAGGGTTTCTGCATTTGATGTTGAATGAATTAAAACACCAGTTAGGGTTCGTTCTGTTTATTGTATAGTTAAATAATATTGCCCTGAAATATATAACATCAATATTGAGAATATCATAAAATCATTAAAGTGCACAATCCAATGTTATACACGATACTGCATAAAGGGAGATAACTCTTACATTCATTATATGTAATCCAATACCACCTTTGAATTATATTTTGTGCATACAATTAAAATACTTAACAACATATATATATATATATATATATATATATATATATATATATATATATATATATATATATATATATATATTACTATTTAAGCTTATAATATCTTCATAGACATTACATACTTTTTGTAAATAAACAATAGATCATAAAAACAATAGCATACCATTCTCAGGGAATAGGCAAGCTCCCGCATATAAGTGCAGAGTGCAAAATATCTTGACAAAGAGTGACCAGAATAACCTAGAATATTTAGAGGGAATTTGACAAACCAATAAAATGCAAGAACACAAAACTTAAACCCAATATATATAGTTTATAAAAAATAAAGATTACCCTCATTTTGTTCTTTAGTATTAAAGGTTATTAAGTTCTTGAGAAGACTCCATACATCAATACATCTCCGAGAGTTTTTACCATACATATTTAAATATGTATAAATTTGCTAAATGACATAATTAACTTGAAACAGTGAGACTTAATGCAGCTGTTATATGGGATGAATCAATCTCGGACTAAAAAAGAAAGGTACATTTTTTTATGCACTGTTGCAATACTAAGAAATGTTCTTTGGATGAGGCATTCATGTCCTATGGAAGTTTTTCTAGTTATTTTTGTGACATTCTTGTACAGTTTATGAAGACTTTTAGTACATTAAAGGCATTTTAAAACTCTAACTTGTTCACTTGACAATTTTATGCTTCTCTACAATATTTTGGAGGAGCTTAGAGTAGCCTTATTTTCATCTAAGCTTGTATCTTTATAACTGAAGTAGGTTTTCATCATGCATTCAATATGAAGCAAGATGTCAACTTTATCTACAGAAATATGCACAATGCTGCAAGGTGCAGTTGACCTGAACATGTTTATTTGGGTAAATGATTTTAGTACCAGCAATAGATTGTGTACTCTTAGGTACATATTTATATCTGTATAAACTAGTACCAGGACAATTGGTAATCCCTTAAAAGGTGGTGTATTTTAAAAGTAAAACTGAACATCCTGATAGGATGATTGAAATTGCAATTGGCCAAGTTTTTATATGGGTGCAAATCCCATCAGAATGGACAAAGCAAACTAGAATATATTAGCAAGGGAGCTAAAGTTGTGTTCAAAGTTTTATTTCTAAAGTGTAAGCTTGACAAGCAAGTGTAATCCATGGTCAGAATATTCAAACATATTAATGAGATAGTAATCAATTTTTACAATTCATCTTGGTTTAAAAGAGAGTATAAATTTTGCTTTGCTGCTCTGAATAAGTCTATCCCAAGATTTTCACTTAAATCTAGAGGGTTTACTGATGATGTTAGCCTTTCAAAGATCAAATCCAATTGTGTTGGCAAACCAGGCATTTGAAATGTTTCTTGATTATCATGCAGTTCCTCGTCATATGATTCATGATCTGGTGCTTCTTGGGGGTCTATTCCAAAGGTCTCGATATCTGATATAGGAATGTCTTCATTCAACTCAAAAACACAATTACCAACAGAGTTTTGCCGATTACGGTTGATCATTCCATTGATCCACATTTTATATGGACTCCAGTGGTGCTCAGTCCGCATGCTATGGCAGTTGTATGCATTTTTGAACTCTGTCAATGCCACATTAATTCTTGGAATGAATATATAGTGAAGACAAAGCATATCTATGTGATTTTCCATATCTAGTTCACTTATGCTTTCAAGATAATAAAACAAAGAGTAATATGTTTGAATTACAGAGTAAAACACATCTCTCCATAATCTCTCTATTCGAGAATTGTGTATGGACCTTCCTGCAATAAAGCTGCCACGATTTCTTCTTCTGGTTTGCTCCATATACCTGGCAACCTCAACATTCTCGGAACCTTTATCCCCTCTGACTCTTGAGGGTAAAGAAAATGTTTCAACAGCTTCCATAAACAGATTTAACACAGTTTCAGCAAGGTTA